GGGATCCAAGGGTCAAGAAGCAGGGAGTCACGAAGTCAAGGGTTGAGAAGCAAGGAGTCAAGAAGCCGAGGTCCGAGGATCAGGAAGCAAGAAGCCAAATTCAGCAAGGCAGGAAACAAGTTGCTGTGGCAAAGAGCCAAAGGGAAATGCTGACCTTATATTCCTTCCCGGCTCTTGCCACCAGGTGCAGTGAGTTACCAAGTGGCCTCATCTGTGCGGCCACGCTTTGCCTCTCCAGAACAAACTTAGGAAGGCCCCTAGTCCTGTGAAGCCCTACTGGTCACAGGGCCTGGCTCCTGCACGCACTCCTGACGGGGACTTTCTTCTGAGTAGATTGATATGCGCTTTATCTGCATATGTTCAGATGATGAAGAAGCTCAACTAAAGATACTTTTTGCTGCTGAGCTAACTATATCATCCGTGTTAAGTGGACTGGGTTTTGTGCACACTGCATTATAATGAAGAGCTTCATTCTGACTGGATTTGAACTAGAACTCTTAAGAGTTCTACTTACCTTCTTTGTTTAGTGAGGAAGGCTCTCTTTACTTTCATGCCTCTCCCTCTTCCCCACCCCCTCTTTCATTTTATAGGAATGTAGGAAACTGCCTTCTACGGAGTCAGACCCTTTGTTCTTCTCGCTCACTGTCATCTACACTACTGACAGCATCTCTCCAGGGTTTTGGACAAGGGTTCCCAGCCCTAGCCGGATGATTTAAAAATGTATTTTCTGAATTGGAAGCGTTCCTTTAAAATTGTACAGCTCAACTCCAATATGGGAAATAAAGGAATTATTTCTCTATTGTTCATTTGTAGATGCAAATCTATGAGATGAGATATTTTGCTGTGGGAAGAAACTGTATATACTTCATACACTTTCAGAGCAGTCTACCGAGGAATGACACATTAGGGGGAAAAAATCCATATTTTTCCCAATGAGGGATGACATTTTAGAACAAACGCGCGGCCATTTCTTTCTTTTTTTTAAGTTAGCAACATTAAATTGCCTGCAAGTGGGTGAGGAAGACAATACACAAATGAGCTGAACATAGGTCCTATGTGACATGAGGAGCATCTTTTCATTTATGCTGGGAGTAAAAACTGTATATCCCCCCCAAAATAAACAGGTTTACCATGCCAAGCAGCTCTCAATAGTCCCACCTTTACATCTGTGAAAAGCTCCTACCCATTCACTGCCATGGGACAAAAAGATTTTGTTTTCTTTGGCATTAAATTCACTAAGCAGCATTTCAAGGTTGGGCTGTTTACTACAATATCCGGGGCGAGATGAGGAACTTGAGGCCCTCCAGATTTTGATGGATAACAAATCCGGTCATTTCTGTCCATAAGCTGTGTGGGTTGAGACTGATGGAGTTCAGTAACATCTGAAGGGCCAGAGGTTCCTTTACTCCTGATCTAGGGGAACCAAAAGAAATGTATAGAAGGGATTTTATGAAGAGACTCTAAGTTTGTAAAAGTTTTCTCTTGTGCAACATCATGTTGTTGTTTTTTCAAAGCAAGCTCTGAAAGTTCAAGCTAACTTCTGGCTTGAAAGCAGGATTTAGTCAGTGACCTGGTGACCATAGAAATGGAAGAGAACCAATGGCTTGGTTTTATGGAATTATTCACTTAGATATTCAAGAAATGCAATTAACCCGCCTGCCTCTACTGCTCCCATGTGTAAACATGTATCTCACAGGAAATTGGTGAGGAGCAGATGTTAGGGGTCATCTATTGGCATTACTTGAAATGGTGATCTATAACTGAAATTGCCTGTGTGCTTATGAACCTCTGGGAAAACATATTTCAGCTCACCCTTTAATTATGCTTGCTTGGAAGCATGCTGTATTTTAATCCTAAACTGAAGTAATGTAAATGTAAATGCAAAAGAAATGACTTCATATTGTAATGGACATAAAGGTGACTCTGAATAACAGTTTCCATAAAGCAGATTAAAAACTTTTCTCTCTCAACACTTTCTAACAAAAAAGAGAGAGGAAATTTAATAATAGTTATCCAAAGAAGAAAACATTTCTTACTTTTACTCCCTACTTATGGCTCAATATTGGTGATTTTTGCTTTAGACCTAAGGTTCTCAAATGTTCTGAGGAGGGGTCCAGTGAGTGGTCTTAGAACACAAGATTCTGTAGCATTACAGAAGCTAATCAAGTATGGATCTGGTTAATAATCTGAGATGGAGTCTATTGAGAGCTGATGTAGATGTATACATACCTACATGTATCTACCATATATTCTGGAAAGTTGTTTGTTCTCTGGGAATTTGGATGCTTTTTGAGATCTTTCCACCCAATTTGACATGAGGGTTCCTGTGGTGGTTTGGGGCTGGATTGTGGGTCAGGTGTTCCTTGGGTCAGGCTGGATCCCTGGATCTGGTGGTTGGACTGTGCACAGCCATAAAACTAACAGAGTGTAGTGTTTATTTCTAAATCTCAATTTTTAAAAATTTATTTCTGGTTCCTTAGAATTGCTGGCCAACACTGTGTACTGTTTCAGCTAGTCTATTGTGTGTTTGGGAGAGCTTCTTGATTGCCTTTTTGCTACGCATTTGGACACCATTTTGCGTGGTGATGCCTGAGATCAAGGAGCAGTTTTTAGTCATGTACCATTTTGAACCAAGGTAGTAGACTGAACCTTTTAAAACTGCACTGATTTTAACTACCGATTTCAAAATTGCACAGTTTTCTTTGTTTGTTTCTTATAATTTCAGAGCAACACCAGGTATAAGGCTGCTCATTTTAGACATATTAAAAAAAACTGCTGCTGTGGGGAACTTCCTAAGTTAAGAAAGATGTACATACGGTACCTTACCAAGAGAGTTTGAACATCTACTAAGTAGCTTGGATGTGGCTATGACTTTGTGGGGAAAGGTCTTCCAGTCTTTGCTTCACTCTGCTTCTTTCCCCTCTCACCATCC